CATGCCTGCCAGGCAAGCGTGCTACCACTTGAGCCACATCCCCAGCCCACATCCCCAGCCCTTTATTTCCCTTCTTAAAGCAAAAATGTTTAATTGCTAAATCTGAAATATAAACCCAGGAAGGAAAGACACCTTGAATGTCAAAGGCAAAATATACTCTCATGTGCAGTTCCATTTCCTCTCCTCCAGATCACTTGCAATGTAACATTTCACTCTAAAGTAGCAATTTTGCTAGGATTTAAGGAATTGTCAGTGGAGGAAAGAAATGAAGAATCATAGTTAATGGAGTATGGTCTGAGAGGCGCTGATGTACCTAAAACTGGTCTAAAAATTCAAGCATTTCCCTTTTTTTTTCAAGCAAATGAGGAAAGCCCATATACTTTCATTTTAACCCACAAGAAGGGTATGAAGTGGTTAAGGATTCAAGGTATTCATAAATAAAATCGGTAAGCTTCTAGAGTTTACTGAGGACACTGCACAGTCTGAGAAAGCTGGCTCCCATCAGTGCAGCACACAGATTATCAATGCATCCAGCAGTTTCGGGGAGGACAGCAGATTTTGTGTGGAATGTACATTATCAGTGTTCTTTCTGATTAATCTTGGTTATCAATTCTTGATTTCAAATCAGCTAATATACATTGATAAATAATAAACCATCATTTATAGTGACTGTCATTTACACTATTACTTAGTTAACCCTGTCATATATGGTGATAGATATTTTCATCAACATATCTGGCTTATTATTATCTTACAGTTTGTCCTACTACAATATAAAAACAAGCCATCTCCACTCCTGTACTGAGGTAGATGTCTACACAAGACCTCAAACAGTCTTTCAGCAAAAAAACTCTTCCTTCCTTATGGATGATATCCTGCAGTTGTACTACTGAATTTGTGTCTATAAATCTGTGCTTTTTGAATAACTTGCTTAGTAATATCAAATACAATACTAGGTCATCATTACAATTTCTTAGCATTGTAGTGTAAAATCAATGTTTAAGTTGATTCTTGTTAAGTTTATATATATATATATATACATATATATATATTAAAGAAAACATGCAAATAACAATGGCTTCATTTTTTTACCCATTTATCTACATTTACCAGACTCTGTCCACCAATATCAATATTTTCTGCCTTTATCCTGTTACAGGGGACTTATTCCTCTTATCTAACTTGAAACTTTGTACCCTTTGACTAATGTCTCTGTTTACCCCATCTCTGTTACTCCCTAGTGAACTTTTAATGTCCATCTTCTCTCTTAACTACATTGCCCCCTTTGGAGATCTTACCAACTTTCAAGGCTTTTAATAACATCTATAACAGGTATTATGTCTCCTGTGAAATTTACACTTCAGATCCAAATGCTACTGGACATCTGGCAATTAGTAAGTTAAAACTAGACCTATTGGTTTTCCACTTCTGGCCCAAATATGTTGTCTTTTCACTTCAAATAAGACCACTCTAAGAGGTGCAATTAAACCTATACGCAATCAAACAAAAACCTAAGATGCTTTTCTGTTTAGAAAGAACTCTAAAAACGTTGCCACTTTTTATATAACTGCTTCTCTGTATTGTAATGTGATAGATTAATGAGAAAATCTTTAGTGGTAGATGATTTTTCTAACATATCTTATTGTCTTAAACAGATCTGATTTATTTTTTCTAATATAAGAGAAGGTTACATGATAAAAAGTGCTTATCAGTAGTACTTATCATTCTATGATTTTTTTATTTCACTTTTTAGAGTAAAATTTACCTTTAACATAAGATATGGCCCAGCAGGGCAGTGTGTATGGATTGGAGACAGGTGCCAGGCTTACATTTGGGGTTTGACACTTCTTAGCTGTGTTATCTTGGGCAAATCACTTACTCTTTCTGTGGCCCAGTTTCCACATTTGTAAAATGTTGAGAAATAATGACAATCACTTCATAGAACTGTTGTGAAGATTAAGGAGTTAACACATGAACAGAGTCCAGAAAACTGTTCTTGTCCTAGTTAATATATTTTAGCTATGATTCAGTATTTTAAATTTCATTTATCTTTAAAAACAAAGAGGAATTTATTCAGGAACTGAGTATTAATTAATGCTCATCAAATAATTTCATTACATTTTTTCCCTATAGTTTCTTTCTCCTTCTCTTATAGTCTTCCTCTGTGTTTAAATTAATTAGTCTAGCAGGGTGTTTTGATTCCTTGCTTATTATTTTTGGTTTGTCTATTACAGATTTTTGCTTTGTGGTTACCACAAGGCTTACAAAAACACCTTTTGATTATAACAAGCTATTCTGAAATGATAGCA